AAAACATAAAAAATAATAATAATAATAATAATAATAATAATAATAATAATAGAAATTTATATTATCATTATAATAATAATTATAAATATAATAATAACAAATATCATAATTACTTAAATTTTTAGAAAATAATATTTTTTCATGCAATAAATTATATAATCTATTTAAAATTATTAAAAATACATTTCTATTATTTTAAATTTAAAAAAAAATATTTATATTTAAAATTAATAATAATATGATTAATAATCAAAATTATATTTATTTAATAAATACAAATTAATTTTATTAAAGAATTTAGAATAATTTGTTTTTACATTTTTAAAATTAAACAAATTTTAAAATTAAAATATTTTATACATCTGCTAAATTATAAAAAAAAGTATTAATTAAATATTTTTAAAAAAATGTTCAAAAAGTTATTAACTTTCGCGATATTTTTGATAATAAATATATAATCTTAAAAAGATCCTTACAAAGTATTAGGTATATCAAAAGGCTCCTCAGACGAAAAAATAAACAAAAGATTTAAAGAATTATCCAGGAAATATCATCCTGATAAAAACAGTGACCCAAAGGCCCAAGAATACTACTAAGAAATCACAAACGCTTATGATTAATTAAAAAATCAACCAAAAAGAGACCAGGAATTTAATTCAAATTCAAACCAAAATTATTATTATAGATAATATTATGGTTATTCAAATCCCAAATAAAAATATGAAGATTATAAAAATATATGGTTTAAATCTTATTAGTAAAGACATGGAAAATCTTATTAATAATTTTTTAAAACTTTCAAACAATAAAATGCAACAAAACCTTGGTCAATATGGAATATTTTTAGTTCCATTTATTCATTTTTTTCTGGAACATTAATTGAAATATTTGTATATGTTATATCCATTTATTTTATTATTAAAGTATTGGGTAGTGTTATTGTAATATAATGAATAAATTAGTAAAAAAATAATATATTGTATTATTTATTTAATTTTAGTAAATAGATTTTTAATATTTATATATATATATAAAATACATTTCTATATATTTTTTTTAAATATATATATTGAATATATTATATTATTTAAATATTAAAACAAATTAAAAATAAAAATAATTAAAAAACATATATAAATAAAAATCTTTTAAAATTAAACTTGACAAAATTTATAATATATTTATATTTTTTTATTTAATAAAAATATAATAAAAAATAAAATATATTTGAAAAATAAAAATGTCAAAATCAAAAGAGGCCAAATTATTCGACATTGCAAAAAAATTTAGAAACATAAAATATAAACTAATAAATTTTTACTAATATCGATTAATGTTTAATCAAAAGCATTTATTAGTAATAGGAGATTCAGAATCAGAAATAGGTTATACAATAAATATAAATATATATGTATGCATATATAAAAATAAAGATAATACATATAATTATATATATATATATATATAAATATATATATATATATATTTATTTATATTTATATTTTTTAATTTAAATTTTTTTATTTTTTTTTATTTCTTATAGGTAATTAAATTATATAGAATTTTTCTGACACATGGAGAATTTGTCTAATTAGTTAAGTTAAAAACGCATAAGCCAATTTTCATTTAAATGTTGATTTTACATAAAATTTAAATTAAAAAGCATTAGAAGAAATTGTTAATAAAGTTAAAAATTTCCAAAAGCATTATGAATGTATCATTTATTTGCCGAATACATCAATCCCTACGTAAGATAATATAAATAGTGAAGATATATTTGATTAATATTAATTATAAAAATAAATAAATATGAACCCTTGTTTATTAACTGCAAATTTGGCAAATAAATATTTAACTAGTAATGGTGTTATTATGTTTATGGGAAATTAAAGCTCTTTTACTTAACCTTTATATGATAAAATAGCTTTTTCTCTGATATAAAATCAAGTCAATTTTCTTAATCTTTCTATGGGAGATAGAGAAACTATTGATATAGATTCTTTTTCGTTAAATTTATTATAAAATGATATAGAATAAGAAGATAATGATTAATAAAACTAATATAAATAAATTACTTAATTTATTAGAAGATGGGCTGAAGGTAAAAGTAGGCCAATTAGTGGAACATTTATTAAATTTAACAAAAAGAAAAATTAATATTACCCAGAACTTATATGAAAGTATTTATAATATTTTTATTATTAATATATAAATTAATTTTTCTATAAAAAAAAAAATATATTTAATAAAATAATAATTTCGAAGTACATTAAAAAAAAAAAGTTGATTTTATTAAATTTTTTAAAAAATAAAAAAACATGTATAATATATTAGAAAAAAAAAAAAAAAAATCAATTAATTGAATTATAATAAATAAAAAAATTTTTTTTCTCTTTTTTTTTTTTTTTTAATAATTTATAATATTTTTTTTATAAATCAAAATAATTCAATTGCTTTTATTTGCATCATATGCATCTCTTAAAACTCTAATAGCTTATAATACAATTTAAATTCTTGTTTTTTTTTTTTTTTAAAAAAAAAAAATTAATATAAATTTAAAAAGTAAATAGATACTCTTCATTGTATTTAGAAATAAGTTCTTTATGTCTATCAACTCTAGCTGATAATTTTTTTTTTTCGTTTTCTAAATTCTATTCATTAGTACTTAAATCTTAATTTAAACTATCAAGTAATTCATTAACAACAACAATATTAGCTTTTTTTTATAAAATATTTATTATATATAATATATATATATATATATATATTTTTATATATATATATATATATTTATATATTTATATATTTAAATATTTTTTTTTTAATTATTTTTTATACCTTCAAGTCCTTTTATTCTATTTTAAGTTCCAGGAATAACTGTATTTTAAAGACTTTCTGCAATTTCTTATTTAGCTTTTTTTTAATTTTCTAATTCTTCTTATTATCTTTCAAAATTAGATCTTAGTTAAACTTATTGATTAACTAAATAATCTCTGATCTCTCTAACTGCATTTATAGCTCTTTAAATTGAACTTTATTCACTTTAAGCATTTAATTAAGACATAACTAAAATAGCAGGTTTTACCATCAAAAGGTGATCTTTTCTTAATCCAGCCACTGATTTAGTTAATTTTTAAGCAAAAGCAGTAAATTATGAACTTACTTAAGCAAAGCTTTCTAATTAAGCATTTTCATAATGTCTTATTATTTAAAAATTAATAAAATATAAATATAAATATAAAATATAAATAAAAATATATATATATATATATATATATATATATATATATATATATTTATATATATATATACTATTAAGCCTATTCTAATTTTATTAAAGCGGCAGAAAGAGCATCAATAGCATCAGAAAAATCATTATTTTCCTTTAAGAATTTTTCGTTTAAAGCATTTAATTATTATGAAAGTAAATCAATTGCTTCTTTTGTGGATTTAAGTAAGTTTTATTATTCCTAAAGATTAGAATATTCAGTATCTAATTCTTAATTTAATTATTCTAATTATTCTTAAGTATTTTTAATCTATTATTTTTATATTTACAATGTTAAAATAAAAATTATAATTATACTTAATTTTTCAATGTATTAATTAAGCTTTCGAAGTTTTAAATATTTAAAAGATAATCAGTTTCGTCTTTTATAAAACTTTCATCTTCTAATTCTTTAGCTTCTACTAAAGCACTTCTGAGTTCTTCTAATGCATTGAATAAATCAGAATATTCATATTTTACAGAAGTTCCTAATGCTATCATATTTATTAAAGCACGTCCAAGGGAGGATTTTTAAAGAACTTATGAAGATTTTTCCTTGTTTAATTTTGATTGATTAGGTAAAGAAGTTATTGCGACTACAGATTAGGTAATTAAAGCTAATAATAATATTGAAGATAATAATTTTGTGTTCATTTCTTTTTTTATATATATATTTTATTTATTTAATATTTATATATATATATTTTTTTTTTTTCTTTTATTTTATTAAGTATTTAAAAAACAAGTTTTTTTCGTTTGTTTTTTTTTACTTTTTTAATTAAACATTAAACATATATTGAAAAATTACCTTTTTAGTTTTGTTTTGTGTTTAGTTTTTTTGTTTTTGTTTTTATTTTTATTTTTTTTTATTTTTTTTTTAATGTTTTCTTTCTATTTATTTATTTTTTATAATATATATGCTTTTTTTTATTTTAATTAAAAAAAGAAAGAAAAAAAAGCTTAAAATAAAAGAAAAACTATTTATACATATTTAAAAACAGACTTTTTTTACCGTTTTAATTAAAAAAAATAAAAACGCACATTTTATAAATAAATAGTTTATTTAATTATTTTATTGTATTATTAAATTATTTATTTTATTAAATTAAAAAAAATTTCTAATAAAATTAAAAAAAAGTTAATTATAAAAAAGAATAAAAAATAAAAAAATAAACATAAATTATAATTAGAAATCCAATATTCTTTGATAAACCTTTAAAACAATTTTAATCTAATTTAAATTATGTCAATTTTTTAATATTTAATAATTCAAATTATATATTTGCAATAATAACCTTTTTATGTATTATAAATTAAAGATTCAATTTTTTTAAAATATTTTTTATTATGAATGAATATTTTATAAAAAAAAATATAGATAAAAATAATAAATAATTTTTTTTAAAATAATAAAAAAATATGTATATTAAAAATAATTAATTAAAATATTTATATATTTATTTTAAAAGAATTATTATTAAATTAATTACAATTATTTTAAAAAAATATTAGATAAACTTGAAAAATATATTTATCCATCCTTTTTTTTATTTCAAATATTATATAATTATAATATTAAATAATTAAATAATAAATTAAATTTAATTTTATTTATTTTAATTATAATTTTTTAATTATTTTTTATTAAAAAATTAATTAAAATTAAGATTTATAATATCATGTATTTAATATAATGTTTTAATAAAAAAATAAATAAAAAAATTATAAAATAAAAGGATATATAATATATCTATATAATATATATATATATATATATATTTTAAATTTTAATTTTTATATTTTTAAAATAATATATATATAATTATAATTTTAATTTATACTTTTTAACATTAGATAATTTTTTTTTTATATATAAATTATATTTAATTATTAAAAATTTATTTCTATATTTCTTATATTTATAATTATAATTAATATTTTTTATTGATTTATAGTATATACAAATAAATAAAAATAATAATATTTTTTAACTATTCAATATACACAATAATAGTAATTATAATCTAATAAATTTATTTTTGATTAATTTTTTTAAAAAATATATATTTATATTATTTCTATATAATAAATATATATATGTAAAAAAAAAACAACAACAAATAATTTTTTCATTAGAATGCTATAAAATTAAAACAAATCAATCTCTATTTGTAATAGAATTTAAATGTTCTTCAATTTCCTAAACTGTTAATTTTCTAAATTTAGGATTTCTAGCACTTACGACTCCGATTTCAATATCAGTTGGTTTAAAATCACTAGATAAAACCTAATATTATTAATAATTATATTTATTTGTTTTTTAATTTAATAAAAATACATTTTAAAGTGTTGAAATAGCTAATTAAACAGTTTAATTAAAATCTAAATCTTTTTATTTTTTTAATTATTTTTCTAAATAACAAACAGATTCCATTTCTTTAACTCCAGCAGCACAAGCCTTTTTTATTTATTTTAATTATAATTTCCTTTATATTTTTTTTTTTTTACTTTATAACCACAATAAAATCCTGAAGGATCATTTTTATATAATCTAGGTCCTAATTCATCATCAATAGCACAAAGAATAGTTTCTATTATTAAATAATAACATAATAAAATTAATATATATAATTAAAAATAAAATTACCAACACCATAAGGTCTCATCATAGCTTTTTATGTATAAACTTAAGCAATATCAGCTAATCTTAAAGATAATTAATCTACAGGAATATAGTGTCCTTTATATTTATAAAATATATGTAAATAGATATATAAATGTATAATATAGATTAATATATATATATATATATATATTATATTTATATATATATATATATATATAATATTATAAATTATACCATTTTTTAATTTATATTCAGCAGCTTCTGATCTTAATCTTGTTACAATAGCTTTCGCATCAGCTTTTTTTAATAACATTTTAATATTTTAATATATTTATAAATATTGAAAAATACGATAAATTCCTGTTGTAACTGCTCCAATACGATCACTTATTTAGAAATATTAGTCACTGACGTGTCATCAATAAATTTATCCTTTAATAATATTAATGTATTTAATAAATAGATCTCTTTATATAATTTACTTAAACACGCTTTTCAGTTACAATTGCGACTGAATCATTTCCTCTTACTCCTACTGTGGTTAATCCTGAATTTTTTACAGCTGCAAATGCATATCTTTTTTTTTTTTTTTTTTTAATGTTTTTTAAATATTTTTATTTCTATGTTAATTTTTTTTATTATTTACAAACTTATATCAACTTCCCTTCTGGAGAAAAAACTGCAATTTAACTTTCGTATCCGCTCATTTATTATTTATTTTATATTTGTTTTTTTTTGTTTTAAAGAAATAAGAAATATTTATTTAATTTTATTAATTTTTTATATCAATTAAAAGATTTAATTTTTTATTTTATTTTTTCTTGAATTTATATATTAAGATCAGAATTATAAATAATAATAAAAATATAAAATAATCTAAAAAAATTTTTTTTTTTTTTTTTTTTTAAAACCCAAAAAATAAAATAAATATATTGTTGTTTTAATAAATAATAATATATAAAAAAAATATAAATCGATACATCTATATATAAATAAATAAAATTAAAATAAATGTATCTAATTAATATTTTTATATAAAAAAAATAAAATATATAAAAAAAATAAAATTTATTAAAAAAAAAAAAAAAATCATTTAAATTAATTCAAAAAATACCTAAACTTTTCTATTAATATATCAACCCCCTCTTCCTATTCTTATTCCTATTATTATAGTCCATTTTCATCTCCGAATTCTCTATCTTCATCACCTACAGCAATTAAAACTAGACTCAACCATTACATAACTTATAAAAATTCATAATAGAAAATTCCTTCGAATCCTAAAAATTTATCTTCAGCTAATAATTCCATAAAGCATGTATTAACGATTTCTTCTACATTTTCTCCTTTAAATCCGGCTTCAGAAATCAAGTTTTTTACTTATTCTTTTAACATATGGTATTTTCTATCTGCTATTTAAACAGATTCGGATAATTTATCACTAAAAATTTAAATTAAAGTATCAGAATTTTCCTTAATATTAATGGAAAAAAAATAAATAAAAAAATACAAGTTTAATATATAAATTTAATATATTTACACGAATAAAATTCATTAATATAATATCGAATTTCATATGCTTTTAAAATTCGCTTAATTCATCTTCATTATTATCTATATTAACTATTTTTTTTACAATTTTACCCAAACTCATATCAAAACCTAAATAATTATTTTAAAATTTAAAAAAATTCCATATATATATATATATATATATATATATATATATATATAATACTTTCACCATCACTCATTAAATTTATAGTTTACAAATATTCAGTTGCTTTTAAAATAATAAAAACAAATTCTGGAAATTTAATTCCATATTTTATATCTAAAGTAGCCTAAAAAAATTATATTAATAATTTATTTTTTTTAGATTAAAAAAAATTATTTACACTAACAGTATTAACTCTTTTATCTTCCATCCCATAAAATTCAAGAAAAGAAAAAACATTTTAAGAATCTTTCATTATTTCATAAAACTTCAAAAAATGCATAACATCCTATAAAGGAATTGCAATTTCATCTTTTTTATCAGTTTATTATATATAAAGCATTGAATATTAAAAAAAAATTTCATATAATTTGTTCATATTTTCACTTAAACTTGAACTTATTTTAGATTTAATATTGCTTTACTATAAAAATAAAAATATACAAATTATATATATATATATATATATATATATATATATATATTTATGTTTATATTTATTATTAATTATATTTACAAATTCTAAAAATTATTCAGCCTTAGGATTATTTTCAATAACAGCCCATAAAGTTTCATATGTAAAAGGACAGAAACTTCCTGATGAGTTTTCTTTTTTTATTTCAGCTTCTTATTATTATAATTATTGTGATAAATGTTCAGGAATTTTCATCCCTTCTTTGATTTTTTTTAACACTTCTTCTTAAGATATTACCATTGGATTAATATCTACTTTAAAATTGGGATTATTATTAATTTAAATAATCTTCTATTCATCAGTTTTTTCATCTTTTACTACCTATTCTAGAATATATGAAATATCTCCAAAAGGTAATTAAATTTCATGACTATATATATGACCTGCACCTTCTGCACTTTAATATATATAATATATTTAATAATACATTAAAAACATTATATTTACTCTTATTCTTATAATTATAAAACAAATTAATTTTTATAATCAGCAGAATTAAATTCAAATTATTTAAGTTCTTTAAACATCTAATATTTAATTGAAACTTAATAAGAAAACTTTAAATCTTTTCTTTTGTCTTTTTCTTTTTCTTTAAAAAAAGTAAAACTAACCAACATTTTATTCCTATCTTTTCCAAATCCTTATTCAAACCATTCTTTTTTTATTATTATTTATTAATTCATATATATTAATTTAAAAGTATTTATATTATAAATTACTTTTATGTTCCTCAGTTTATATCATATTAGGTTTTTATAATTCTACATAAATTTACGAATCTTCAGTTTCTTCTTGCTCTTTAAAAAAATGACATATTTTTGATTATGGATGAGGAACAAAGTCGTATAGTTTTAATTTTAATAATACAGGAAGGTAATTTCCGGCTGGATATTTGGTTTTACCATAAAGTTTTGCCGCTGTTAATGCTAACCAAGTGAAATCATTTAATGCTTAACCTACGTTTATTGTTAATTTTAAATCTTCAACTTATACTTTCAGTTTCATTTTATCTAATTATTTATTTATATATATATATATATATATATATATATATATATATTTTATTTTTTTATTTTTTTTTTACAAATAAAATGTATAATTTTTACAATCACTTATATTAAATATATATGTTTTTTTGTTATAAATATAAATACTTATAATTTGTTGTTTGTATAATTTTTTTATATTTTTTTTTTTTCATTAAAATGTCTCATTTTTATAATTCTTTTTTTGATAAAAAAAAATAAATAAAATTATTCTCATAAATATACTAAATATAATAAAAAAATTATAATATTATTAGTAAAAATAATTAAATTTTTATAATTAAATATTTTTGTCATTTCTATATACTTTTTTATAAATCAAATTTGGCATAATCACTATATTATTATAAATTTTATAAATTTTAATAATATTTTTCAAACTGTATTTTTTCTTTTCTATTTTTCCAAATTTTAAAAATTACGAAAATAAAACCACAAACAACTATTATTTTACAAACAAAGTTTAAAATAAGTATAGGAAAGAAACATTAAACAATAACATATAAATTTTCGAAACTAATATAATTACTTTCTAATTCTTAATTCAAGTTATTGTTATATTTACCCTTTTTTTATTTTATTTTTTTGTAAGTTTATTTAATTTACTTTATCAATAGACATTATTTAAAAAGTTTTATTATTTTATATATTTGTTTGTCTTATTTTTTAAGCTTATAATTAATTTAACAGTATAATAGTAATTAAAATAAGTATTATTTTCATTTTTTTTATTTTATTGTAGTTTAAAAAAATAACTTAAATAAATTTTAACAATAAAAAAAAACTTAAAATAATAATATTTTTTAAATTTTATTTTTTTATTAATCAATCAAAATAAATAGAGCTAAATAAATAATTATGAATTCAAATTATTATACTTATATATATACATTATTTATTTCATATATAGATTTTATAAAAAACAAACAAAAATATATTTCTATACAAGATATTTTATTTATTATATATAGAAATAATAATAAGTATAAGTTTAAAGCTTGCTATATTTTTATATTGACTATTTTTTGTTTTTTTTAAAAAATATAATATATTATTTATGTATTGATTTTTAATTATGTTAAATTAAACGCTATTATCCATTTTTTATTATATATTAATTATTATTAAAGAAAATTAATATATATATATAGTTTATTTATTATAATTGAAAAGCTTATAGTGTATATTCCTATGTATTTAGTGCTATTGCAAAAATATTTGTATTACTATTTTTAAAATAAATTAATTAAAATTAATATTAATTTTAAAATAAATATATAAGAAAATTTTATAATTTAAAAAAAAAATATAAAATAGAGATATAACAAAAAAATAAATATATATTAATAAATATATATATATATATATATATATATATATATTATATCTAAATAATTATTATATTCAAGCCCTTATCAATTATTATTAATTTATTTGATTTTATTAATACTATGGTTATGAATATTATTAATATTATTAATATTATTATATTATTATATTTTATTCGTATTATTTTCTTTCTTTTCTATTCTTTAAATATTTACTAATAATATAAATAAATCCGATTATCATTGTAAATTTAAAAACTACTAAAACAATAATTAAAGTAATTTAAATATAATCATATTATTCCAATTTAATTTCTTCTAAACCCATATCACTAAATTCTTAAAAAAAATCGTAATTAGGATTTTCGGATTAATAATTATTCAAAGTATCATTTTTTTCTATTTTTTCGTTATTTTATAGATTTTAATATGTTCCTATTGTTTACGTTTAAGTTTAAGTTTAATTATATATTTAAATTTCTTTTGCAAATTATTTATTTACAAATATAATGTTTATTAATGCCATTATTATAATTTTTTTCATTTTTCTTTTATTTTTTATATATATAATTAAATAAATTAAAATATTATCATATAAAAAAATTAAAATTATTGTATATTAAATAGAGAAAACAAAAAAATAATATATAATACTATTTTTTTTTCTTTATTATTTCTATTTTAATGAAAAATAATATATATTATTAAAAAAAATAAAGTATTTTAAATAATATACAAAAAAAATGATATAGAAATCTATTTAAAAATAAGAAACTATACCTTCTTAATAATAAAATTAATAATTATAATAATAATATTAATAAGCAAATTAAATTTTATAAGAATTAGTTTAATATAATAACTAAATAAAAAATACTAAACAAGAAATTTTATCAATTTTAAAAAATATATATTAAAAACCAATTCCTAATATTAAAGAAATAGATAGTTTTTAATAAATATAAATTATTGAAAGAAATAAGGAAAATTAATAAATTAATGATAAAAATTAAGAAGAAATAGGAAAAAATAATTCAAAAATTTAAAAAACTTCTTTTTTAAATAAATTTTAAAATCAAAATATTAAGGAAAAAAATAGTATTATATAAAATGAAAAACTTCAAAATAAAACTGAAGATATTTTATAAGAAAAAATATAATAAAAAAATAGATTATAAATTAAAAGTATTAATGAATATTTGTGTCTGAATTAAATAAAATTCTAACTATAAGATAAATAATAAATATTTCATTAAAAAATTTAAGATTTAAAATAAAATATAGAATAAAAGGAAAAAATTGTTAAATTAAATGATTAAATTAACAATGTTTTATCTTATTATTAATAAAAATATTCATACAATAATTATAAAAAATAAATGAAAATAGTTGATAAAGTTAAATTTAAGATTTAATAATGGATATTAAAAAAAGAATAAAAAAATCAAATATGTTAATAAAATTGAATAATATTTTATATTTAATAGTATAATAAAAACTAAATTTAAGTTTTATTTTTATTTTATATTTAAATAATATATATATATATTTTTATTTATATAATATTTTAAGTAAAAATACATATTTCTAATATAAAATAAAAATGAGGTAAATAAAATAATCTAATAAATTTAAATATATTATTAAGCAATATACAAGAAATAGAGCAAAATATAAAATTACATAACGATAAACTTTAAAATAAAATGAATAATAAAAAATTAGATTTAATTTATGATTTCTAAACAAAATTAGTAGAAAAAAAATTATATAAATAAAATATTTATATAAAAAAAAGTTTAAAAACTAATAAAAAGATAAATCTAATTTTTTAAAATAAAAAAAATGTGGTTTTAAATTTTAGAATGAATGGTATTGTTTTTTAGAAGAAGCTTTATACCTTTTCTAATTAGGTTTTGCAAATATAAAAATATTAAAAGAAAAATAAGAAACTAATGTTTAAAAACTTCTTGAATTATTCTAATATATAATTATAGATGAAAAATATGAAAACCTATGTACTTTTAATATTTATAGTGATTTTAGGTAATAAGGATTATTTTTGAAAAGAATTCCTATATAATAATATTATAAAAGAATATAAAATTGTGAAATATATGAACTTTTGTAAAAAAATATTCATTTAGAATATGAAGATTCATTTTAGGAATTAGAAAATGTATTTTTTAATAAATGTCCATTTTTTGTAGTTTTTAAAGGAAACTAGGAATATGAAAATAATTAATTTGATTATATATTAATAATTTTAGAAAGGTATAATATATTTATTATTATTTTTTTTTATTATTTTTTTTTTTTTTTAAAAAAAAAAAAAAGCCAAGAAGATTTAACATTTGATTAATTAAAAAATATATAAAAAATAAGAGAAAAATATAGAATAAAACTATGTATAAAAGACAATTAAATATATAATATAATAAACTTAAATAATTTTTGAATAGAAAAATACATAAAAAATTTTCATTTTTTCATTTTTTTTTTTTTTTCAAAAAATTTCATCCCATTTAGGATTATAATTTCTATGTTTTATATTATCGATTTTTAAAGACTATATATTTTCCTTATCAAGTTAATTTAATATAGAAATACTTTATTTTTCTAAATCCTATATATCATTTTAACTTAAAAAACATATTTTAGGAGGAATCCAATTTGGCTATATTTTCTATTCTAATAATTTATTCTATTTTTTTATTTATAAATAAAAATATCAAATAAAATATACAATACCCATTCAAAATTTTCAAACCAAACATGATTTTTAAGACTCTAAAAAGACCCTCCGAGTCTATTTTCGGGTACTTTCGATAAAACCTATGTAATGAAACTTATAGCATTTTAATCTTACACAAAACTAGGAAATGTTACACTACTTTTAATAATTTACTCATAAATTTCATATGGATCTTCCACATCTTCCGCAAAAGGTACTCCTCCACACATAAACTCATAAAGACATATTCCCACTGACCAAATATCTACATAAAATCCATATCCTTTTCCTTAAATAATTTCGGGTGCCATATAATGTGGTGTACCTATTATTGTAAAAGTTTTATTAATAATTTAAGAATTTTTATTTTTCATAATTTTAGCAGTTCCCATATCTATAATTTTCAAATATCCTTTATTATCAACCATAATATTTTCAGGTTTAATATCTCTATATATAATATTATTCTAATGTAAATATTCCAAACCTAAAATCATCTAAGAAACATAAAACATAGAATCTTAAGAACTTAATAAGTCTATTTCTCTAATAACATCAAATAATTCCATCCCTTAAATAAATTCAAGTAAAAAATATATACATCTCTCATCTTTAAAAGATCTCAAAAATTTCATAATAAATATAAAATTAGAAAAATCCATTACTTTTTTCTCATTCTATATATATGAAAAAATACTATCTGTATATAAAAAAAATATACTATTATGTGCTATTCTAACATTTATTCAGCTACCATTTGTTTAGAAATACATTTTAAAGCATAAAGTGTGCTATTAGTCTTTTCTTTACACAAATAAACACAACCAAATTATCCTTAACCTAGTTTTTTTAAAATAATTAAATCCTATAATTACATCTTATTAACTTTCTATTATAAATGATCATGTTCTATTTATTGTTTTTCCCCTTATATTTAATTATTATTAATTAATTTTTATAAATCTCCAAAAAAACTCTCTAAATCATCCCTTTTAATCAATCCTATTATTGAGTTTTAATCAGCCAATACGTCTTCTTCGAAATTTCTTATTTAGTTTTATTAAAAAACCTCTTAAATACCTAAAACATGCCGTTATTTACCTAAAAAAGTCTATTTTCCTTAATAAAAAATATTCCCTTCAATCACTATTATGATATAATCTTTCCAAAAACATCCCTTTTTAATTACTACACCTTATTTTTTCTAAAAACAGAAAAACTCTAAACAATCAATCAATAAATTCTATTGATTTTTCTATAAAATCTAAAACTCACGAGTCTATTCTAAACTCCATCTAGCTAGATTCTTATAAATAATCTTATCTACTTTATCCCCAAGAATTCTCGTCAAATCATCTCTCGCCAATGCTAGACATTTTACATCAGTTTTCGCTTTTATACTCATAGTACGCTTCTAATCTCCATGTAATAGTCCTTTTTCTCCAAAAGAATCGCCTTATTATAGTATTCGGACCTCTTTATTATCTTTTAAACAAGAAACTTAACCTTCTTTTATTATATAGAAAGAAGAAGCATTATCATTTTCATTTACAATAGTCTAATCTTTTAAAAATTTCTAATCAATTAAAACCTCAGCAATTAAATTCTTTTGTTCGTAAGTAAATTTCTCTAAATATATAAATAAATATAACTAGAAAAATCATTTTTTTAAATACGAAAAAATTTATGATTATCAATAAATTAACGATTAGTTTAATATTCTTTAGTAATCATTTCTTCGACCATACTTCTAAAAGTATTTCTATTAATTCCCCATAAAAAAGCATTCTTCTAAAGCTTTACAAGATGCGCTTCTGGGCGCGTTATATAAAAGTGCTAATTCACCAAAACCCTAGCCTGGAAGAATTGTTTTTTAACTTTGTTTTTGACAGAAACTTAAATTTAACCTTTTTCTAAAATAAAAAAAGAAGTAGCATTTGTATCTTCTTTAATTATATATTCTTCTTTAGATAATTAACAATAGAACATTTAATTTACTAAAGCTTCCCTGTATATATATAAATATTTATATATATATAAATATATATTTATTTATTTATATTTTTTAATTATTAATTATTAATTTTTATTTTATCTTTTTACAATTAATCATTTTTTAAATTATAAAAAACAAAATGATTCTTTAAACATTAAATTATAAATTTTATATCTAAATATGCTTTTTTTTTAGGAATTTCATTGTAGTTTTCTTCTATTTTAAAATCATATCTAAATGCTGCGTTTATACATTGTCTTTTTAAAACTCTTCTTTTCTATTTTTTTTTTTATTTTAAAAAAAAAAATATTTTAATAATTTACGTCATTTGGTGAATATGTTTTTTCTTATTAGTTTAGATTATATAATTATAATTTTAAATCTTTATAAGATTACAAATTTTATTTTTTATCTTCCATTTAGGTATTTTTATCTTCTATATATTTTTATTTATTTTCCATTTTTTTTATTATTTTTATTTTTTTTTAATATTATTTCAAAATAATATTAAAATTTAATTAATTTTTTAAACTTAATTATTAAATTATTTAAAAAATATCTATTGAAGTTAAAAAAAAATGAATTAAATTAAATAGGTTTTAAATAATTTTATTTAAAGATAGTTTTTCTTTATCTAATAATTTTAGTAAATAATATAAATAATTAAAATTATAAATAAAAATTAAAATTTAAAATATTAATATTTAATTTTTATAAATATTATTATTATATATTTTTTAATTAAAATAGCTAAAAATATATTTTAAAAAGTATATTAATTTTTCTTTACAAATAATCTTTGTATTTATAATATTAATTGTTGTATTTATAATCAATTTTGTATAAATTATATAAAAAGCTATTTTTTTAATGCGTAAACATTATTTTAATGATTTTTATATATATATATCTTCTTAAATATAATTAATATCACATGATAATTTATTTATTAAATTGAAAAAAAAAGATATGAAATAAAATAAAATTAAATTTTTAGTTTATTAACACGATATTTTAGTTTATAATTCAATGATTCTTAGTATTTGCGTTAACATTTTATTATTTAATATTTATAATGTCTTTTTATGTGTTAACATTTATTTAATATAAGTTTTTAAATTAAGTTAATTATATTCTATTTAAATTTATATTTATTTTTATAAATGGTAAAATTATTTTATTTAAATAGCAATAATATTTATAAATACTATTTATTTAATGTTAACTATTGCTAATATATTTCTAATTTAATTTATAAAACAAAATTAAAACAAATAAATTTTTAATTATCCTTTTCCTGAAAAATTAATATATATTTTATTTTAAGAATTATTATTATGTTTTTTACTAATTATTAAATAAATAATAATAATTATATATATTTTCAATCAAATTTTTAAACATAATATTCCCTTTTTGTAATAATTTACTTTTTTAAGATTAAAAGTTTAATAGTTTTATGAAATTTATATAAATAATTTAAATAAATAACTAATAATAATATCTTATAAATTTACAATAACTTTATATCAATTAATAATCTTTAAAAATTCAATAAAAATATATTAAATAAATTAAAAAATAAATAAATAAATAATTGAAATCATAATTTAATAAACAATTTTTAATAAAAATTATTTATTTTTAATCTTTTGAGCTTATTTATATTTTAATATCCTTCTTTTATATTAATTATTATATTTACTATTTTTATAATATATAAATAGAAATAATTATTTTATATAGTTTTATGTTTAGTTTTACTTTTAATAAAATAATAATATTTTTATTATAAGTTTATAATAATAATTAAAAGTATTTATTAATTATTTATTTTTAAATTTTATTATTAGATTTTCTTCTTAATAATTAATTTATAAAAGGACTTTTATTGAAAAAAATACTTTATTTTAATTTTTAAGTTAATTAAATATTATTAAAAATTAATGTTTTATTAATATAATAGAAACTAATTTACATGAAATCATAAAAAATTATAATAATTTTTTAATTCTTATATATTAAATGTTTAAATTATAAAATTATATAAAATAAATTATACAAATTTCATTATAATAATATATTTAATTTTAACAGTTAATAATATTGTAATATATAATATTTTATATATGGATTCCATTATTTTAAAAAAAAAAAAAAAATTGATATTTATGTGTTTTATAGTTATTTGGTATTATTTAATTATAATTTTAATATTCAATTATCAAATAAATAATTTAATTATACAATAATTATATATTTTAATTTCTATTTAATCATTCTTTTTATTGTTTTATTTTATATTTTTTATTATAAAAAAATTAAATAATTATTCTAATATACCATAAAATTAAGTAATTTTTTGCTTTTGTTTTGTTTTCAATTTAAATATTAATTTATATTTTTTTTTGAATAATATTATAGTTAATTTAGTTAGTTAAAAAAAAAAAATTAAATTATTAATGGGAAATTGTAACTATTAATAATAAGAATCAAACTTAAATTAATTAAAAATAAAAATATTAACATAAAATAGTTTCTTATATTAAAAACTATTAAGCCAAAAAGAATAATTTATATAGTTTATAAATGATAAATTTTTAAATATTACCTTACCTAATTTTCTTGAATATAAAAACACTTTAATTTCTTTAATTTAATAAAATTTCAAAAAATTAAGCTCAAATAGTACTTTAAAAAATCAAATGCTTTAACTTTTAAACGACATTTAATATTCTGAAAAGTATTATTTAGAGATGAATTAAAAATCAAACAATCTAATTATAAAAAAATCTAAAAAAGCATTCAAATAAATAATAATAATGCAAATAACTAAAAATAAGTAACTTTTTATATATAGAATTTGCCAGCTTTTTTACTAAATTATAACCTAAATTTTCACAAATTAAAATAACAAATAATAGACTAATAGTTTCCATATTCTTTTTATATATAATATATTTACTTAAATAATACATAATGTATTAATTTTCATAATTAAATCAATAATATAAAAGAATAATTTTGAAATATATTTTAACGAAAGTGATATTTAATTGAATTTCTTTTGTGGGTAAATTACAGAAATACTTCTATTTACAAAAAAAATACCGTTTTATTTCTAAAATACAGTATAATAGAAATACTAATAAAAAGTTTAAAGCATTTAATTTAGTAATTTAGTAAATTTTTAAGACTAAAATAATATTTTGAATACTATTATAGGAGAATATATATAAGATGAAGATGATTTTAATTTCGCCTAAAAATGTAAATAATTACTTGATTAATAATTTGATGCTTATTTTATTGAAATAAGAGAAGTCTTTTTTTAATAATTAGATAAGAAATTTATTTTTAAAAAAATTAAAGGAATTTATAAACTGAAATAATTAATGAAAATAAACCTCGAAAAAAAATCTATTCATTCCATTTTTTAATAAAATAAACATTTTTTGGATTAACCTGATAATTTTTACCAGTGCTTTTAAATTTTAATTAAATAATTTTTTAAAGATAATTAAAATAACTCTTTTTAACGAAATAAAATTCTCTTACTTTATGAAGAACTTTAATTAATTAATGAAATCTATATAGAAAATACTTTCATTTCCCATTTATAAGAATTAATTAGATTAACTTTAGGGTTAGATGATGATAATTAATAAAATCAGAAATTAACATATATATGATATTTCAAAAATATTGATAAAGTGCTTAAAATCTATTATTCTTTCTTATAAGTTATTTTTTAAATAGTTTATATATATATTTAAATATAAATTATTATTCTTTGTTATTAAAATATATAGAAATAGTGTTTATTTGTAATAAAAAACTTATCTTTAAATATTATTAATGCATACTATAAAATTTTTAATAAAAATCTGCAATTCTATATAAATTTTTATCATTTTTTTTAATTAGCTTTTGTAAGTAATATATCTTCTATTTATAATTTTTATTTAGCTATATTATCCAAATATTATTAATTTTTATTTTATATATTTTCTTCTACTACTTTTAAAATAGTTATTTTCTTAATCTATATATATTTTATATATTATTTTAAATTACGGTTTACTTTATTATTATAATATATATTTACTTAATTGTACATGATATAAAAATTTAAACCTATACCAAAAACGAAGGCTTTTTATATCTTTTGAATTATAAAATTATAATAAAAATAAATTTAATACCAATTAATATTTATCAATTGAATAGTTTAATTTCTATTATAAAATAATAAATATAAAATTTATCTACATATTATATAACCTATCTTAAATAATCAATTTATAAAAAAGTTGTTATTTTTTATTTTAAACTCATATTATTGTATTTAATATATATTTTTTTATGTTTTATTATAATATATATATATTATAATTTATCAATATATTATTTTTTATATTATTAAATATTATATAATTTTATATTTATTTATTTAATGTTTTTTTATATAAATATTAAATAATCTAATTTATATTTATTCTTAGTTTATAATAAATTTATTTGATAAATAAGAAATACAAAAAAAAATTAATTAATTTTTATTTAAAATATATTTCTTTTAAAATAAATTATTATATATATATATTTTCTGATATATATATATATATATATATATATATATATATAAAAAAAAAATATCATTCTATCTTCCATGAAATTTATGTTTAATACATTGGATTATATATTTCGATTTCGTCTTATTCATCTAATTATTTATATATATCATTTATTTCTTAAATATCACAAAATTAGTTTATTTATTTTTATATTTATTCAGCTTTTGAATCAAATTTACTCTATAAATATATTTAAAAAATAAAAATAAAATATATTTACAATTATAGTTTCCCATAAACTTTTATTTTCATAATCAAAAATATCAAAATCAACTTTTTTTTATTAATAAAAATTAGTAAAATTTTAAATTAAAAATTGCACATTTTATGACTATTTTTAAAATAATAATATTCTATCTAAAAAAAAAATTACTTTTTCAAATTATTTTTTTAATACTTTTTCTGATTTTTAAAAATTTTTAAGAGTTTTTTAAACTTTTAAAAGATCTTTAATAACATTTTTGAATTAATTCTATTTTTTTGAGAACATTTTTTCATGAATTTTAGTATTACTCTATTAATTTTTATTAGTTTTAGCTATATTTTCCCATTATTTAATAATTTCCTAACTATACTTAAAGAAACACTTTAAATTTTTTTTAAAATTAACGTAATTATCCACATCAGCAGCTTCATTTAAATTAATTCCGCATTAAACAGATTTGACTTTAAGTATAAGAAAAATTTTTTCAATACAATAATAAATCCTTGTATCAAAAACTTAATAAAACTAAAAATAAAGCTAGCAAATAATTTATAAAATAGGTTAAAAAAGTTCTTCAAACTACAAAAAAGCAGCTTTTTATAATTTAGTGAAATTTTCAAAGCATTATAAATGAAATTATTATGCGAAATTTTTCTTAGCGGATTTATTTATAAGTATATTCTTTTTTATTTTTTTAAAATTCTATATTTTATTTACTAAAGATTAATCACTAAAAAGTTTCTCGTTTATAAAAGTTTCTATAAAATTAACATTTACATTCTATATTTTTAAATATGTATATATATAAATAAAAATATATATATATATATATATATATATTTAGTTAAATTTTTTTACTTTACATTCATCATCATATATATCAATAATTCTTGCTAAATCTGTCCATATTTTTATTTCTTAAGTTAAATTTTCAGTTATAATCCTTGAAGTATCTAATGTCCTTTCTAATTTTTTACTTTCATTTATCCAATCGTCAATCATTTTATGAAATACATTAAATATTTCAAGACTTTTATTAATATTTTTATTCATGTTTTATATTAAATTAAAGAAATTTTAAGGCAATTTTAACCATTAAAAATTCATTTAATTTCTGTGGCTTTATTACTATGTTTAAGGTCTTAGTGTTTAAGCTTAATCAGGCATATTTACTAATAATTTATAAAAAGAATATATATATATATATATATTAAATATTTATATATTTATATACATATTATATATTTATATATATATATAAATTTATTTTCTCATATATTTATATAGTAATATATATAATTATTTTTACATTTTTTATATATATTTTGTATTATTTTTATAATTTTTACATTTTTCAAAAAAATTCTTTTTGAAAAAACTTGTTGAATTTCTCATTAAATTACTTTGATTATTATTAAAATCATTATTTAAAATTTCTTATTTTTTAATATCATTATTTTCTTATATTTATTCATTTTTCTATTATATATTTTCTTTATTTAGCTTCTGTTATTTATCTTTTTTTTATATATCTATATTAATTTCTTATTTTTCTTATTATTATTATATGTTTTTTTTATAATATTTTTATATATCTTCATCTGAATCTTCTTCTGTTTATTAATCATTTTCATTAATATTTAACTATTCCATTCTCTTTTGATATTCTTATAGTTAGTACATTTCATTTTCTTTATTTTTTATTTATATTAATATTCCACTCCATATTTAATATGTTTAAATTTAATAATAAAATAATCTATTAACTTAATTTAATTTTTAATTAAAAAGTTTTTTGATTTTATATTAAAAAAAAAACCTTTTGAAAGTTCAATTAATTCATATTTTGTTAAAAATTTAAATAATAATTATGAATTCTATTCGATAAATTTCTCTAACATTCTTAAATTATCAAATTTTCTCTTTGATTAATTGACTTTTCGCATTGACATTTTATTTTTAGAAGTAAAAATAATATATATATATGTAAAAAAAAAAAATTATTAATATAATAAATTATTAACAAAAATTAAAAAAGTAAATCAATATAATATTATTTTTAAAAATATATTTAAAACATAAAAAATTAAAATATTTAAATATATATAAAAAAAAAGTAAGAATATATATATATAAATATATTTATATAAAAATAAATTTATATATAATTAATTTATAATTAACTAATGTATTAGATATATTTCTATAATCTTATAAAATTAATAAAATAATATTATAAATGTTTAATAATATAAAAAATTAAATAAATGTATAAAAAATCTAAATAAATACTTCAATTAAACTATCTAATTTAGTGATTTTCTTCTTCAATTTTCTTAATTACCTCATCATTAACTTAATTACTTTAATAAGCTATATTATAATCAAAAGCTTTTAAAAGTGTTTATTCAAACTTATTCCCATTAACTTAAATTGACTTTTATTTAATATCTTTTTTATTTTTATTAAATAAATATTTTCCTTAAAAAATTAAATTTAAAGACACACTATCATTATCTTAAAAAAAGAACAAAATATCATCCAAAAAATCATCAAAAGTGATTTCTTTTAAACAATTTCCTTCCAAATCCCACATAATTAAATTCATTTATAAAAATCCTATTGAAAAAACAGAATATTAACTAAATTTAATCTACATAAAATTTCCTTTATAACACACATTATTATTCGCTCTTACTCTTTCTACAAAAACTCCATCATTATTTTCAATTTTTATTTTTTAATTATTTTTTATTTTTATTTTCTACATTTCTTTTTCTTCCGAAATAATTAAATTCTCATCTAAAAAATCTACATCTATACATTAAATTTTAATATTTGTTTAAATTTTTTATTTCAATAATCCTTATTATATACAAAAAATTAAAATTTAGCCATTTTAATTTCCTAAATATAAATTTCCTTAGCATTTTTTACTTTAAACAAAACAATTTATTTACTCATCTTCTTTTTCGTTTTTTATACTATAAAATTCCTTTTATTAAAAAACTTCTTAAATCAATAAAGTACTAAAAAAAAAGTTTAAATTTTTAAATTTGAATCGTGTATAATTACTAAACTATTATCTTAAGAAAAAAGAACATTTTTTATTGCCTTTTAAAATAACTATATAACCTTTAAACATTTGCCCGTCAAAGTTTCATATATTATTAGCTTTCCAGTATCTGATCCTGCTATAAAATATACTCCATTACACGAGATTGATGTAGATGTGATATTTTCAGTTACTTTTAGCCTTAATAGAACTTTTTATGTAAATAGATTCCATAGTATTAGATCTGGTTGACAAAAACAAACAGCTATTGAATATATATAATTTATACTTAATGTATTTTTTTAAATTTTAAAATTTATTTAATTTTAATCTTTTGCAAATTATTGAAAATTTAAAACTTCAAATAATTAAAAGGATTTTTCTTAAGGACATATAATTAAATATTCTTTTTTGGACATTTTTTGTTATTTTAAGTAATATAATATATTTTTGTTATTTTATATTTATATATTTTTATATTTTTGAAAATTTTTAATTTAATTAAATTAATTTAAACAAAATAAAAATATATGAATTAAAAAATAATATATATATATATATAAATTATTAAATAATTTATATATATATATATATATATATTTATTTGTTTGTTTTTTTCAATATAATTTAAATAATTCATCTAAAATATTTTATTCCTTACCATCATAAGATTAAATTATATTATATTAAATACCCGGATAAAGTATTTCTTCAACAATTTATTTTTCAAATAATAAATTCTATATATAATTATTAACCACTTATTATTTTTATTTTCTCTAAAAATTAGATCTATGAATAAACTCACATTTTCCATCATCTTTATCACATATATTTAGTAAGAAATTGATACAAAAAAGACCATTTTTTTAATTATAAGTTTAATCTTTTCGTATATTTGGCTAATAAAAATTTAATTATTCTTCAGAAAAAATTAATTTTCATCTTTTTTTTATTCTAAAAATTATTGTCTCTTTATTAATAATTATTATTATATTAACTCCTTTAATTTTATGAATTATTATTATTATTATAGTAAGAAGGTCTTTATATTTTATAATTATTATTATTATTATATTAATATCCTTCTTTTTAATAATTATTATTATAAGGATATCTACTTACTTATTAAAAAGTTCGATTATTATTATTTTAATCATTATTATTATTTTATATATTTTCTGGTTAATAATTTTATTAATAATAGGGTTTTCTTTAATATTTATTTTATAATTAATCACCTTCATTTTAGTCTTTTTACTAAAAATTTTATTCATTTTAGTCTTAACTTTTATTATCTCTATTATAATTTTAATTTTCATCTTTAAAATTTTAACTCTTTGTAAAATTATTTGATTAATAAGTATTTCTTTATGTATTATATTAGTTATTATATTAAAAATTAGTTCTTTATTAAGGTGTATAACTCTTTTAATTTTACGAAAAACTATTTCTTTAAAAATTATTTTTTTAACCATCATCTTGATTATTCCTTTATGTGTTAGTTTCTTATTAGGGATTATTTAAACCTGTACTAAGTCCTTATTTTTATCGATTATCGAATGAATTACTATTTCTTTAAAATTAGCTTGGTTAATTATATTATTTATTATAAAATCCTTAATTATTATTAAATCTGTTATAACTACCCTAATCGTTTCTTTGGAAATTTTGACTGTATTAAAGTCTACCTTCTTGATTATTATTTTTAAAATTTGTATTGTATTTTTAAGGACTTCTCGATTGACTTTAAAATATTTATTATGAAAAGTTTCCTGATCTTGGTGTGTAATTATTATTTGATCTTTAATATTTATTATCGAAACTATTTTATTATGACATTTTGTTTTTTTTAAAAAAAAGATTTTTTTATAACAAAAAATTTTTTTTTTTTTTTTTTTTTATAAATTATTAAAAAAAAACTCGATTAAATAAAAAATTAATTAATAATTTTTTTTTTAGATATATATATATTATAGTTTTTATATAATTTTATTAAAAATAAAATAATTTTTTCTATAATATATTAATTATAATAAAAATTTAATAAATACAAAAAAAAATATTACTAAAATAAAATTATAAAAATAAAAAAAATAAAAAAATATATTAATAAATATAAAAATGTTTGAAGAATCTATATACAACCTTATCCCCAAAGAATATGTTATTCCGCCTAAACCTTAAAAGTATAGATCTAAATATCCTCATGACTTATTTCCTACAGGTTCAACTTTAATACATCATACAACATCAAGACCTAATGTAAAATAAAAAAAAAATATATTATAATATAAAATAATAATAAAAAGGTTGCTAATTTAAGTGGAGATTACACTTTAGTAAAAGGACCTCATTGTCATAAAGATAATAATAAAACATTTGGAAGTGTAAAAGGTATATTAAAATAATTTATATATTTATATTTAAAAATATATATAAGGAAATAATAAATGTAACTCAACTGAATTTTTGAAAAAAAATAGTGGATTAATGGGATCTAATTAAGTATTTAAATTATTTATATATATTAAATTTAAAATATAATACATAAATGTATTATAATAATATTAAAGTTACCTGAAAAAAAAATATTCAAATATTCTGATTCAGAAAATAGAAAAGAATTTATTCCTAAAATAAATGACAAACCGATAATGGGTTAAGTGTCTAAAAAAAACTATATTTTAAGTAATGCAGCGGAAATAATATTAAGCGTAAATTATATTTTATAAAAAATATTAAAAAAATCAAATTATTAAAATAAAAAAAAGGCTCCAAAAGAAATATAATAATAAGAAAGTTATTTATTAAAAAAAGATTATGGAAAAATACCTGAATATTTAAAGAAAAATAAAAAATAATTAGAAAATGACTATAAATATATATAACAATAATATTAATAAGAATAAAAATAAAACTAAAGGTATATATAAATATATAAATAAAT